AAACACTAAACACTAGAAAAGCCCCAGAAGGCAACAGAAGAATATCCTCATGACCTTGGGGCAGGCCAACATTTCCAGGCAGGTGACAATGCTAACCACAAGTGCATCAATCGAACTTCCTCAGTAAGGATTTTTGGCCATTAAAGACATTGTTAGTAAGTAAGATGAGAAGTCAAATTATATCTTGTGAGAAAATAACAATGATCCATAGATGTGGCAAAGACTTGATCTGAACATATAAATCGTGTTTTGCCTACAAAGGAATAGTAGAAAGGCAACCCAACTGCTGTTTCTTCCGTGTTGGCCATGGCCACCGCTGTCCTGAACTAGGGCAAGTGTGATTACCAGAAAGAGACCTCACAGAAGATGGTGCGTCAAAACAGACCCTCCTGGGGGTGTGGGGGGAGAGGAAGCTCACAAGGCTCCGCCCTCTCCTGGGTATAAGAGGGTTGACTGGAGATGGAAATATCTTGCTTCTAACCTGCTGAGAGGTACCCAGCATGTTGGTATGTTGGTATGGTGTGCTTTAGACACTTCTTGGAGACGTAGCTGCCTTTGAGTCATCCACGCTCTTTAAGGAAGCTGGACAAACTGGTCCACCCATTTAGACTTGGGTAGAATCCTTTCTTTGGTCAGTTGGTTGTCCTCTCCATAAGAAGAGGGAGCAGGTGGGGTGGTTTGGGAGATGAGCTGCCACAAAATTCCCTTCAGGAATGAGCTTTATTAGGAGTGAAACCTTCACATAGGAGCCGTGATCAAAGCTTGAGGTGGGGTAGTCCTTCATATTAGAGATGATGTGATGGGGGCTTGAAGGACTTTAAAACTGTAGAGGGGCTTTAGAAAGAGAGATGACTTAGAGAAAGGAAAGCCAGTAGGAAGGGAGGGAGGGAAAGAGGGAGGGAAGGAGGGAGGGAGGGAGGGAGGGAGGGAGGAAGGGAGAGAGGGAGGGAGGAAGGGAGGGAGAGAAGGAGGGAGGGAGGGAGGGACGGACAGATGGACGGACAGAGGGAGAGAGTACAAGTGAACTACCGTGGACAAAGATCAGGCCCAGAGAAGAACATTTAGGAAAATTCCTTGAGTAAAGGAGAATATTTGACTTGTATACCGGGGTGTTGGGAAGTTCCATGCCACATGATTTCTGGGGTAGCCTACATAACAAAGAGGAAGGAGGAGCCAGGTATTGGATTGGTCTGTAAGTTATGGGCTGTGGCATTACATAGGGCATCTTAATTCTCTGCCTCAGAGAGCACTGCAGTGGGGGTTTGGCTTGATTTCTTCAGGCTACAGGATTTGACTGGCTTTGAGTACCCAGTATCTGCAGGGGGCAGGCTCAGGATCTAATTCTTTGTATCTGAGGTGAGTAGATGTTGTAGAAACTTATTTTAAAGTGTGTGACTTTTGTTTATGCTGCATTTGTTTAACTCTGTGAAGCTCTGATTCTTTGCCTGTCTAAAACACTGATGGTTCTAATAAAGAGCTGAATGGCCAGTAGCAAGGCAGGAACAAGGATGGGTGGGGCTGGCAGGCAGAGTATAAATAGGAGGAGAACCCTAGGAAGGGGAGGAGCAAGTTAGAACAGAGAGAGGACGGAGTCAGGGGCCAGCCGCCCAGCCAGCCGTGGAGTAAGAGTGAAAGTAAGGATACAGAAGTAAGAGAAGGAAAGAGCCCACAGGCCAAAGGTAGCCGGGGGTAATTTAAGTTAAAGAAAAGCTGGCTAGAAACAATCCAAGCTAAGGTCGGACATTTATAAGAAAGAATAGGACTTTGTGTGTGATTTATTTGGGAGCTGGGTGGAAGGCCCTCCCCGCAAAAGCCAAAAGAGTAAAAACAACCAACAACAAGTAGACATTTCTTTATGCCTCCCTGGGAAAAGTCACAGGGACCAATTAGAATGGGAACAACTTGAACAATTCTTCATTTACAATGACACAGACATGCTCACTAAACACAGGGCGTTCTCACTTGGGGGGTACACATGAAGACCATGTATGCTGAGGCTACACTCCCATAGCAAAAGTCGGCGAGACTACAGGACAGCCTGAACACCCCACACAGGAGGCGCCAGTGCAAACTTATGACAGTCTTGGAAAACTGGCAGTTTCTTTGAAGAAAACATACGTCTATCCCACAGCTCTACGATTTAATTTCTAGATACTTCCCCAGCGGAGGTGAGCTACAAAAAGATTTGAAAAGTAATGTATATTGCAGTCTTATTTTTCATAGCTCAAATCTAGAAACAATCCCCGAAAGGAAAATGTAAACCAAAAGTCACCAGGTCATAACAAGGAGCACCTCAAATTATATTCAGCAAAAGAAAACAGATGCAGAAATTGGGCCATGGTTCCTTTCATGTGAAGTTCCAGAAGAGGGGAATTTCTTCTGTGCTCACAGAAACCACAACAGAGCTTGAATTGAGGCAAAGGTGGAGCTGGCAGCAAAGGGAAGAGAACTTGGGGACTGGGGAGCTAGGCTGTATCTTCACTAAGGTTGTGGTTACATTGCTGTAAGCATTACAGGGTCCATTTAGGATTTGTTCATTTTATTGTATTTTTAAAAATAGCTTCATGACTTACTTCTCAGACTTTTAGGGGTATTGCCTAGACCTTTGAAGGGGTGACTTCATCTTGGGGACTAAGCATGAGCATTCAGACCAGGGAAGCCAGAGGCAGACCGAGGAGGCCAGAGAGACCCACATGGCCAACTTACACAGCATAGTTTTGCCTCTCTGCAGTATGTGTTGTTGTGTATTTATAGTGTATCTTTATGTGTGTGTGTGTGTATGTGTGTGTGCATGTGTGTGTGTGCATACATGCATGTGTGCCCACCCAGGTGCCACAACATACATGTAGATGTCAGAGGACAAGCTGTGGGAATTATTTCTCTCCTTCCATCATGTAGGTCCTGGGGATGGACCTCTGGTCACTAGACTTGGGGACAAGTGTGTTTGCCAACTGAGCCATCTCACTAACTTAGGTAAAAACTATGACTACGATCCAATCCGTGAAGCTCCAAGGGTGACAAGAGATCCACATAGAATTCCACCTGAGGACCCCCGATTCCAAATCCCTGACGTTTTCCGTGAGCGTCTCTAGGGGTTGATCTGTAAGAGCCTCAAGGCTTGCTTCAGGGCTACAGCTTGAGCAAGGCCAGAGGGATAACTTTGCCAGTCCAGACCCTATATCTGCTCCTGCACCTTGGCATGACCTCTTGGTTGGATGTCTTATTTCCAAGTGGGCTTTCTAGTTCCCTCTCCCAAAAGCTTTCCTAACCTTCACGGGGCCACACCGTTGGCAACGTTCTTGTGTAAATCCCCCTAGGCTCGGCATGAATTGCAGGCTTGGAAGATGCTCTGCCCACACACAGGTCACTGGAAAAAACATGTAGACACCCGGCTTTGAGTGCTGGGCCCCGAGGATTTCTTGAGCAGAACACATAGGTCATCATAGCAGAGAAAAAGGCCCAGGCTCCTCTCAGCCAAAGCACCTGCTTCCTGGAGGGAGGCTGAGCCCCAGTGAGACATGATGTCATTGGTGTTTTATCACATCTCAGTGAGGCGCCCTTGTTGGGGAGGAGATGGGAAAATAGAGCCCTGCCACCTTAATTGGGAAAAGAAATAGGATCTCCAGTCACCTGGGTCAGATGTCCATGTTTCAGAAATAAAGCCGCCCTGTCTGAATTGCCCGGTCCATGCTGCTAGGGAGGAACAGAGCAGCTTTGGTGGGTTCTTTCCATGGAATTTTCTGTCAAATAAAAATGCTGACTTTCTTTAAGGCGCCATCTAAATGAGAGTTATTGTGGCTGATGAGAAATAAAATACTTAATTGCTAAGTAAAACAGATGAAAAATTCCTTTACTCACAAGAAAAACAGCAAAATATTACATATACATATAAAATCTTTAAAAATATTTGTTATTGTGCAGTGTGAACTCACATGACATATGTGTGTGCAGGTGTGTATCTGGGCCACAGCACATGTGTAGAGGTCAGAGGACAACTGTGGAGTCAGCCGTCTCCTCCTTTGTGTATGTTTCCGGAGATCAAACTGACATCACCGGGTTTACACAGTGGCCTCCTCTATCTCCTGAGCCATCTTGCCAGCCCTACATGATTTGTTCGTATCTATTCATCAGTTGAAATAATTGTTCTATCTTACTTGTTTAACTTAAAAATTAAAGGAGCTAGCCAGGCGGTGGTGGTGCAGGTCTTTAGTCCCAGCACTTGGAAGGCAGATGCAAGTGGATCTCCATGAGTTAGAGGCCAGCCCAGTCTACAACAGCTAGTTCTGGGACAGCTAGGACCGTTACACAGAGAAACCCTATCTTGGAAAAAAAAACAAACTATGAGCTAGTATGGGGACATATGCTTGCGATTCCAACCTGGGCAATAAGGTGAGGCTCTGTCTTGAAAGAAAAAATAAGGAGATAAAATAAATTCTAGGTGATAATAGTTATATTCTCTGCCTTTTATACAGACAGTCTTATCTTGATTTTAAGTGAGGGCATATTCATTTTGTCTATTTAAAGCTTTATTAACAAAATACATACACAGTTTAAACATTAAATAGTATCAAAGGCTTCATTGAGTTGGCACAATAACAGCTTAGTGGGTAAAGCGGTTTGCCACCACACCTGACAACCTGAGTTCAAATTCAATCCTCATAGCCCACATGGTGGGAGAAGAGAACTATTTCCCACAAGTCTCTGATTGTTGGGGACTGCAGACCCTCAGACCCTGAATTTTCTATGACCCCCTTCCTTGCCTGCCGGAGTAAACAGCTTGTTTTCCTGTGTTTGCAGCTTCTCTGGGCATGAGACCCTCATGAGTTCCTGATGGCAGGGGAGTGGTTTCTGGTGAGCTTGCAGCTGAAATTTCCCAAGAGTTAGGGTGTGGCCATAGCTAACCTTAGTCAAGGATAGCCCTATATAAGTTGCCCTGGAAACACAATAAAATTGGCATTCTTGTTTCAAAGATGATCCACCTCTCTCTCTCTCTCTCTCTCTCTCTCTCTCTCTGTGTGTGTGTGTGTGTGTATGTGTGTGTGTGTGTGTGTGTTTCAATCTCTAGCTCCTTGCCTGACTCGTGAACCATCCTGTAGTATAGACATTACGCTACATCTGATCACATATGGTGTGATACACACACACACACACACACACACACACTCACTAAATGTAAAAGAAAAAAATTAAATTAATACCAAAGATATAAAATGACAGCTTGTGTCCTCTTGTACCCTAACTCCCAGAGAAATCACTATTTTGGTAGGGGCAATGCAGGGAAATCCAGTGATACCCTATGGCTTTTCCAATGAAACTCATGTGTCGTGGGGTAAGGTATTTGCCCTGCCTGTTCTACAGACAAGATTAAAATGTCCCGGTTTCTTAAGCTTCTTTGATTTCAAACTGCAGAATATGACCTCCTACAAAAGTGAACAGGTCTGTGGGTGCACAGAAACCCCTTGCCACAAAGTATACACACGTGGTCACCACTGCCCAGGTCAAGACATGGAGCCTACCCGGTATCTCAGAGGTCCCTTCCATATGCCTCAAAGGTGACTGCTGTCAACGCAATCACCATAGGCGGGTGCTGTCTTTTCAGACGTAATCATTATGCTCTCCTGCCAGCATTTCTGTGAGATTGGCGCTGATGGTTATGGGTAGCTGCAGTTACTGAAGGGTCCGTGTACATCTTTCTCCGTGACCAGTCTGTCCTTTCATGGCTAATGGACAAGGAAGTTGCTCCTTGCATTGGCTATTGTAAAGAATGCTGATAAGACGTCTGGTGGAATATGTAACACGTCCGGCATGTGGGGGGACATGTATGGATTCAACTCTATCAGGGAATGACAGTTGGCTTCCTGAAAAGATGCTAACTTACATATGCACGGTCAACCAGGGCATTTCCATTGCTCCATGTCTTTCTCACTGTTTGGTACCACCAGTCATCTTGCTGTTAGCTATGTTGGTGGGTGGGGCGTGCCACACCAGTGTGGCTCTCATTTAGATTTCTCCAGTGACTAAAGGGAACGAGTACCCTTCAGTTTTCTTGCTGAGCAGTGAAATGTATTTTTTTTTAAAGCTTGAGAATGCTTTTGTTAGAGCTCAACTTTGAAAACAGAACAAATAAAAACCCCAGGACAGGCAGGGTGTGAATCTCAGCAGATGCCTGGAGGGGTAGAATGGAGAAGAAAACGGGAAAAGCCACACACATGAGTGAAGCCATTGTGGAGACCACATGGCATAGCGGGAACTCTAGAAAGAATGGAGGTCCAGAGTGTAGGGAAAACACACTTAGGACAGAGGTAAAGAGAAAAAGAGAAAAGTTGTGCTTTTCAGAGTCATTCAGAAAAGAAGGCAGACTTCAGAAACTGCGCGTCTGCACTTTCCCTGATCTCCCCCTCTTCGGCTGCACAGCTCTGGGGAGAGGCTCCACTGAGACCTGCTGAGCACCATAGCTGTGCCTGCAGGGTGTGCAGAGCCGAGGCTGACGGACAGCAGGGAGGTGAGACTGAACCAGCCCAGCATCATCTTCATCTTCAGGAGCTGTGGCTGCAACCGTGAGGAAGGTTGGGGGTCTGGTTTTGCTCTACCCCGTGGAACAAGGACCAAGAGAATGTAGTCTCCATGAATTAGCCAGAGCTGCTTTCCTGCCTCCCCACACCCGTTCCTCAACCCCAGCACCGCTCTTGGCTGTTCTAGGTGAGTCCCCTCCAGTCCCTCCACACCACAAGATGACAAAGCCCAGTGCTTCTCCAAACCCGTAGCATCTTCCGCCTTCCCCTGCCTTCAGTTTCTCTGCGGCATCAATCTCACAGCCTAGCCCCGTCCTACCCGTCCCTGGAGAGCTGAGAGCAGACGACAACCACACTGACACTTAAGAAAGTAGGTGTCACTCCACACCTCGGCATTTATTAAGGTGTTATGGAAATTTGATCCGTTTCAGTCAAAGACATTTGGGGTGACTAGCCCTATGCGCATGGTTTTCTCTGGATATGTGACCAAATAAAACTGAGGAGGAGGCTCTCTCTCTCTCCCTCTCTCTCCCTCCCTCCCTCTCTCTCTCTCTCTCTCTCTCTCTCCCTCTCTCTCTCTCTCTCTCTCTCTCTCTCTCTCTCTCACGCGCGTGCGTGCGTGCGTGCGGTTGGAGCAGAAGCAAGACTAGTGATTGGTCATCACCCTTGGGCAGAATGGCAGGAAAACAACAACTGGATCAGAAGCAGCGTCTATCTTGTTCTGTATTTGTGAATCTGTTTTCCCATTGCACCCCCTAATAAATTATTGACCAGACTTTGTGGGTTATCGCTTCATTAAGAACTTACTATGGACCAGGTCCCACCCTTGGCCCAGGACACACAGGCAAACAAAAAAAGGGCCGGCCAGCAGGGCTCATAGTTGGGGTGTCCTCACACATACTAAATGCATCATTGGCATACATTTCAGTGACTGGGATGTGTGTGTCAGTCACAGGGAGATGCTGAGTCCCCTCTATGTATTCAGGCTGCAGCAGCTGGCCTAGCAGTAAGTACACAACATGAAGGAGTTCAAATGAGGGGCTAAGGGACCTATGACACAAGTTCTTTGGTTTAAGGTTTCTTAATGCTTTTGCAGAGAAACATTGCTATATTAATAAACACACAAAATGATTAGAATACACATAAACCCTCTTTAGGATTAAAAAAATACAAATTTAAGAAATTACTATAGCCTCCAGGGGCCTTTGAATATGAGTCTTCACCTGTGGTCATTAGGGCAATTAAGAAAACTCTCAGAGAAGTCATGACATTCTTGGCCAATGAGCATTCGCGGCATATTGATGAGGTAGATGTTGTTAGGCCTACAGGAGAGAACACTGACGCCCAGCTGTGGTATAGAAAGCTCAAGTTCCATGGTTAAGAAACCACAGAATCAGAAAGAAATCTGTGTCAAGTCCACATCCTTCTTACAGTGTGTAGTGCGTACAGCAGCTGTTGTACGGTTGTAGGGAAGGCTATGGAAGGGTCAGGCTGGTGCTAAGTGGTGAACGGGCGTGAGCACCGGATGAGCAGTCCAGTGCAGAAGATGGCCATGACCCACAGAAGCTGAGCCTGCAGGGTCAAGACATGAAGTACATGCTTGGGGGTCGCAGCGATGGGGTTGCTGCCATCCAGCGTCTTATCACCAATGCAGAGGGACAGCGGTCCTCAGCACTGGTCTCACTCCCATGGCCCCATCTCGGCTGTCCGTGTTCTACAGTGACAGCCTGTTCTCAGGGTGAACAACACAGGAAGCACGAAGCCACCATAACTTCTCCCAAGGTGGCCTCACCATCTAGGAGGCTGGCAGTATGCAAGAGGATGGGAGGAAACAGTGTTATTGGGCCCAGAAGGACATCGACAGGGAGTGGGAAACTTGAGAGGCGGCTGCGGCTTTCCGTATTTTCCATTAGGAGGTCAGTGGTACAGAATATCTGTTGACACAAACATCAAGAGATTGACGACGCTCTCACAGGCAGAAAACAACCCCTGGGAAGGATCCCCAAATGGTCGAGCACATACACCGTGCAGAGTTCTCCGTGGCGCTTGGAAATGGCTCTTTCCACTAGGAAATGGTTGTTACAGTTTGCAACGGAATGGTACTGCTTCTCTTCTCCCCTTTTTCTTCCTTTAGTATGCACCCAGAGAGTTTGCTGAGAAACCAGCCAACATCCTGCAGGTCCTCAGGCCATCTCAAGTACTGTTGCTTTCGAAGAAACCCTCTGATGGCCTCATGTCTCATCAGCTGATACTGGGACAGGGACCCCACCACCACCACGACAAGAACGTTCTTGAGGTCGGACAGGCACCGGCTCTGCGCGTACCTGAAGGCTTCCAGGCACCAGCCATCCTTAAGGAACTGTCTGCTCACTAGGCACACGGTCTTTCTGCTGCCCCAGACAGCCGCCTGGATGTTGGAGATGTGGTTTTCCCCCGGGATGAAGTCTCTCTCTTCGAAGCACAGCCTGAGTCTGTTTCGGGAACTGTACTGGGCATCCAGGTGTTTGAGCAGAGCATTCTGTGCCCATTCAAAGTCTTTGCTACTGAAGCAAAAGTAGGCATCGTATTGGTATGCACTGGGTTCCGAACTCTGGACCTTGTCCTTGAACACCAGTCTCTGAATGGTCTTATAACACAGGAAACAAGTCCCCCGGAACTTTATGAATGTGACGGTGGTGACGAGGAGCAAGGACAAAGTGACGGTGCACAGGATGAAAAGGGAGAACTTCATGGACTGCAAGGCTTCCTCTTCATCACAGTCCTCGGTGGAGACGTCATAAAGGGAGACCCCTGCCAGCGAGTCAGGGTACATGCAGTATATGTCTGCAGGAGAGCCCTGCAGGGTGACATTGGTTTGGTTGAGCCAGGTGATAAAAGGGATAAGTTCACACTGGCAGACAAACTCGTTATGCGTTATGTCCAAGAAGCTAAGTGAAGCAAACAACCCGGGATCAGGAGAGAAAAGCTGATTTCTAGATATATCAAGAAACTCCAAATTAGCAGGTAAGCTGCCAGGAGAGAGAGAGGTCAACCTGTTAGCGCCAAGACTGAGCAACTGTAACGAAACCAGGTCGTTAAATATTCCAGGGGGGAGGAAATGAAGGTAGTTGCTATTCAGGTACAGGACTCGGAGGCGGAAAAGGCCTTTGAAAACATCCCAGCAGAGACCGGTCTCCCAGGCAAGCTGCAGCATGTTTCCTGCCAGGAAAAGATGTTCCAAGCTCAGGTTCTCGGAAGGGGTGTAGACTGCCTTGCAGGAGGAAAGGCGATTCTGGTTCAGGATGAGAGACTGGAGCTGGGGAACTTGCAGGAGGAAGTAGAGGTCGGACAAACTTTCCAGCTTGTTCTCAGACAATTCGATGAAGTTGGCTGTAAAGCGGACGCGTGGCAGGTCGGCCAGCTTATTGCCGCCCAGTAAGACCATCGAGATGCTTGGAATGAAATTGATGGTTTTAAGAGCATTATCACGGAGATCCAAGGTTTGTAATTTCTCCAAGGATCTGAATGTTTGGTATTGAATGACCCCAATATGGTTCTTTTGAAGGTCAATGTAGGCGACTCTAGGTAGCCCATAGAAGTTAGAATTATAAAGTTCTCCCAAAAGATTATACGACATATTGAGAACTTGGAGATTGTCCAGTCCATAAAACGCACCATCTGAGATCTTGTTTATCTTGTTGGAGGCAAGGTTCAGAAGCTTCAAATCTTTCAGTGTCTCAAACACTCTGGAATTCAAGGAGAAGATATAACCGTGCGAAAGGTCCAGGGACATCACTGAACTTCTAGCCAGGCCAGCAAATGTGTTCTGGTCAGGGTCTCTGATGTTCTGGAAGCCAAAGCCAGACCCCATTATGTGGTGTGTGAGAATCAAAGAGGTAACTTGGCTTCCCCAGATGACAATGCTGAAGTTGCCTGTGATGTCTACTGTCCAGCCATTTTCAGAAAGATCTAGAGTTTCCAGCCACATGCCTCTGAAGGGGTTCCTGCAAGTCTCCCAACTCACAGAGACTCTGCTGAACAGGCTAGTTGATTTGAGACCAAAGAAAGAGAGTATTTTGCCCTGCAGTGGCTTGAGTTCACCCTCACATAAAGGGAATATTTTATTGAAAGAAAAATCTATGGCTTTTAAGGAATTCAGTTCCTGAAATGAGGAATGGAGATGAAGGCTGTAAATCTGGTTGCCAGATAGGTCTAAGCGAGCCAATGAAGTTAGATTTTTGAAGTAACCATCTCTTAGCACAACACTGGAGAGCTTACAGGAAAACAGTCGAAGTTCCAAGAGATGGGGCAGCCCCTGAAAAGCATCTGGACTCAAGACTTCAATGTGGTTTTGGCCCAGGTCCAAGATCCTCAGATTGGGCAGGTTTCTGAAGGCCTCTGGGCCGATGGTCATGGGTGTAAACTGGGTTCCCAGCTCCAGCAGCAGGAGCTGCTCCAGGAATGGAAACGATGTGGTGTTGACCACACTGATGTAGTTGAAGCTGAGAAGGAGCCTCTCCGTAGTGTCAAGGACCCAGGGAATCTGGGTAAGGTTACAATGGCGAAATAAGGCGATTGGGCCATTGGAAGAACAGGGAGACATTCCCAGCATGGGGCTGGCCATGAAGATCACACTTAAAAGAAGGTCAAGTTGATCTGCCATGATCTATGGGAAAAGAGAAGAATGAAAACACATCACAACCTGAGGATCTGCACCCGGGTTCTCGGGATTTGAGGGCTTCCTGTGTGATGTGGTTGTTCTCTTGGGGCCCTTTGCTCAACTGATTTCACAAACACTCTGCTGGGCAGGACAGAGCCACCAACTCTTCTTCTCAAACACTCGCTATGCATACTTTACACACTGGGCACCAGTGCTTTAAAGACACCACGAGCTGGAGAGGTTGCTCAATGCTAGAGTACTTGCTCAGCATGTCCCAGATTCGAGGTCTCCTCTCCAACACCAAATAAACAACAACAAGCCCGTTACCTACTCAGTGTTTGTTCATTAGTTCTAGAGCTGCTGAGGGAAGTTGAAAATCATAAGGACGAAATATTTTTACTTCTGTTCATCCAGGGGCTCCCCATTCCTTACTCCCAGAACCTCAGCTAGTGGACAGATCATAAACACATCGCTTTCCCTTCTGCATTCTAGCCAGATTCTAGCCCATCTTCAAAGATCTGAGCTAGCTGGACGCACTATGCATGTCTTCTTATGTATCTTCATAAAGAATCAGATTTGATCAGCTTAATGCAGTGGACTGTGCATCTGTTACACGCCTGACACAAGTATGACAGTAAACAGAAGCACACCTACCTGCTGAAGCTCGGTGCAGGCAGCTTAGCGTCCATCCATGTGCCTCAGCAGCAAAGGGCGTCTCACAGAAGTGTCTGTTATGTATTTCAAGCATAGGTGCTGTGTGAGAACAGAAAACACTGACAAGGATCTCAGAAAGCTTACTATTTCCTGTGGTGGTTCGAATAAGAATGGCCCTCATAGGCTCAGATACTTGAATGTTTAGTCATTGGAGAGTGAACTCTTTGAAAGGATTAGAAGGATTAGGAAGAATATGTTGGAGGAAGTGTGTCACTGGGAGTGGGCTTTGTGGTTTCAAAATTCCATGCCAGGCCCAGTCAGTCTCTTTTTCTTGGCCTGTGAATCAGGATATAGCTCTCAACTACTTCTCCAGCATTATGCCTGCCATGTCTGCCACCATGTTCCCCACCATAATGATAGTGTACTAAGCCTCTGGAAAAAGCCCCCATTAAATACTTTCTAAGAGATGTGATGGCCAAGGTGTCTCTCCATGGCATTAGAATAGTAACTAAGACATCTTCCAAGTGCATGGCTCTTCCATCTTTAGAACACATCTCACTTGCTGTCAATGGCTCCCGTCCAAAGCCTCCATTGGAAGGTTCTGTGTTCTAGAAAGTATTTCCCACTGGGTCTAGGTAGTAAAGGATTGATTGTCATCCTATGACACCCCTGGGAGGTAGTTAAGCCTTTAAGGGGTGGAGCTTAGTGGGAGGAACTCAGGTCACCGAGGTGGTGCCTTTAAAGCGACACTGGCCTCTTGTACCACCCCTTGAGCCATGCATCTCTCTCCTTGCAGATTCCTGTGTGCCCTGCCTAGACTTGCCATCATGCTGCACCTGCCAACTTCAAGTGTGCACACATCCTTTCTACCCAGAATAGCTCCCAGGCGGCTCTGGTCATCACCCAAAATAAGTCATGGCTGGTAGAGCAAATCTAGAGAGGGAAGGCTAGAATCCACCAGGAGAGAGGCCAGTTTGAGATGAGATGCAGGAGGCAGCTACTAAAATGGACCCCAAACAAAGCTCCATCTCTCTTGGCATGCAACCCCAAGACTGTGGTTCTAGAGGCTTGTGGAACCCTGAAAGGCAGATTGAAGGAATCCAGTGTGAAACTTAAGTCTGTTGAGTGGTACCCAAAGTGAAGATTCAGAAGATGCATTTCAGTGGAGAGAAGAACAGGCAAACCAGGGTTGGAACCCACGTAGGAAAAGAAACAAAATGGCAGATCCGACAGTGGGAAGTGGGGTCTACTGTGGCCTCCAAAGCTTGCCAGAGTATGGCCTCACTGCCCACACCCAAGGAGGCCACAGTGCTCTACTGCGCAGTCGGATCACTGTAGTGCCCCTCAGATGGTTTATTCTGTGGTGTGCGTCTGTACAGTGCATGCGGGGGAGTGTAAGGTTGTGGACACCCATGTGCGTGCTGGCAGAGGCCAGGGCAGGATGTTGGGTGTCTTCCTCGATCACGTTCTGCCTTACTGCCTTGGGACAGAGGCTCACACAGAACTGGAAGCACACTGTTCTGACTTGCCCAGCCCCCCAACAAGTTTTCAGGGTCTCCCTATCCTTCCTCTTCAGGCCCCGTTCCCGAGCATCGGGGCTACAGACACAGGCCACTGTGCATAGCTTCTTCACAGGCATTGAGGTCTTACTTTGAAAATCTGCTGACAGTTCTGAGACCCTCCTCTCCCCTGGCATCACAACCCCAATGCTGTGCCCAGACTCAGAGCCCACCTCTTTTAATGTGATGTAGAGGGCCTTCCGTACACATGGAAATGATCACTGTGGTTCATAGGCTGGGGGTGGAAACACTGTGTGCACAGGGCTAAATGGTAAGACTCTTAGGCTGTGCAGTCCAAGCCCAGACCGCAGTTTGCTGGCCTCTGTTCTAGAAGGTAAGAGAACAGAAACTCCGACTCCACCAGTCTAAGATAAACATGGTGCTGAGACGCGAGAAGGTGCAGGAAAGAGCTTGCGTGCTCCCCAGGTCACTGATGGCTTTGCAGCTGTTAGCTTACCCAAACATCAGGTTGGTTTCTCATCTTATGTAACCGGATGGAGACATTCCCTCGGAGACACCAGTGTGAGGCTGCCAGCTCAGAAAAGCACAGTTCAATGTCTTCGTTTCGATTCTGACTTTTGACAAGATCAGTGTTGGTCCCCAGGTACAACTGCTGAACGAGATGACCTTGAATTTCTGGTAATGAGTGACAGCCCTAAATAACACATATTTCAAGATATTTCAATTTCCAGATTCACAAGAGAAGCTAAAATTATAGTAAGGAAGATGAAACCAGATGAACAAGTAGATTTTAAACAGAACTCTTTGGGCACATGTTCTAATTACAAAGATATCACGCAGACGCAGACCTGAGTCTTTCAGAGGGAAAGAAGGATGGAATAATTCTATTTTTACCTCTGAAGCAGATCTCTGGTTAGACTGACCGGCAGGACAGGTGAGCAGGGGAGCCAGCTAAGCAGTGAGATGAGGTGTTGGAAGAGGGTCACGCTGAGAGTATGGGAGGGGAACCAGTAAGCATTTGTTCTGAAATGGGAGCCAGAAGCTCAAATGTGTGGATGTAAAGACATCCAACACCACCAAGGCAAACCTAACTAAAGCTGAGTGCCGGACTGCCATGCTCGTCCCGACTCTACATTCGAGATTTCAGGAAGGAGTCCATGCAGCAAGAGGTGGGCTGTGAGGATGGAGTAGCGTGGACGTGGGACCCAAAAAGAGCAAGTGACTGAAGCCACACCCCTAAGTGGGTGGGCCCAGAAGGGAGCAGGGTCCTGCACGTGGGTGGGTGGAGAGCCCAAGGGAAGCTGGGCTGGGCCCTAACCTTCAGGGAATCCTTTCCGCGCCTATCAGACGAGTCTGCCCTCTAGTGGTTGCCAAGAGCAGAGGGCGGAAAGGAAGAAAGGCAGACAACCTTCAGGGGCAATATGTTCACGACTCATTATCCAGATGACAAAAAGAAACACATGAAGTGAGTTCCATAGTTAGGAGTCTCTGGTGACATATGCATTCTCTGCTCATAGAGGAAGAGCATACATAAGGTCTTAGGGTTGGTCCTCCACCCAAAATGGACACACCCACTCAAGACAAGTCCTTGCTCTGCAACTGGGTGTGGTGGGGCATGCCTGAAATCCTAGAACTCCAGAAATGGAGGCCAAGAATGGAGAGTTCAAGGCCGAGTTCTATAGTCAAACCTTATCTCAAACAAAACCAAAAAGCACTGAGAAAGTCATCCACTCTGCTCCCAGGATTTATAGAAGTAAGGTAAGAGTATAAGGCTGGAAGGGTTCATCAGCAGCACACACAAAAGGATAGGAATAAAATAAAAATGGTATGTGGCTAGCCTACTCAATTGAACAAGAGACCCATTAATACTCTGATAGACAGGGTACTTGGCTTTGGAAAAGGCCTGAGGTTTGCTGGTGGAAGTAGGCACCAGGAGGGTTTCAGTCGCTGTGTTACTATGAAATGATGGGAAGGGAGGAGGCTGTCTGGTATCAGGGGGAAAATTTGAACACCAACTATAGATGCCTGAGGCTCAAAACACACGGAGAGTGGAGGCAGTGGGCAGACACCAGGGTGTATTTTGTGTACTCGTAGGTGGCTTAGTTCAGCTTGGTGCAGCTTTCTGTCTTTGTGTATAAGAAATTTCACAGAGGAAAAAAATGAATGAGGTATTTCTAATCCCAGGGTTTTTTGTTTTGCTTTGTTGCTATTGATTGAACTCATGGCCTTGGGCATGTTAGGTAAGAGCTTTCTCACTGAACTACATCCCCAGTCAAATTCTTTAATACATCAATAATATTCCCAAATATATCCATTTTCTTAGGAACGAGTTCATATTTTGAAACAAGTACTATAGGTGAACAGACAGGGACAGTTCAGTAACGGATGGAGGATTCTAGTTTTGTAAACAGTTTCACCCCCTGCACTGAACAGTAGAATGGACTTGGGAACCAGTCATGCAGACTCAGCTTCAGGGATAGGAGAGGGCCAGGGTCCTCTCTCCAGGCCCAGTGTCCTTGTGCTTCACTTAGAGACTAACCACAAAGACCAGTCCTCAACCTGGTTACATGTTAGATTCCCTGTAGTTTGGAGACTTGTGAGGTCTGGGCCTCCCTATGCCTATTCAGTGAGACACTGAAGATGGGGCATTCTCAAAATTCAGTATTCTTAACAGGTGTGAAAATTGTAGATACACTCCGGCCCAAAAGTCATTGGCAGAAATCAATAATCATTGAATTTGCCAGCTCCTTGAAATCACCTGGGGTCTGAGCCTAGGTCCCAGCAGAAAAAGACTGGTTTTAGTTGACCTAGTAGGCATGTCTGACATAAACACAGCCCACAGATCCCATGCAGTCAAAGATAGCCAGGAATGCTGCTCAACAACAAAAATATAAACTCACACTTTAAAAATACAATGTTTGCTCAATTTATTTTCTTTGTAACTTGATTGCAAGGTTCTTGGCACTATGTTGCAATGTTAAAAGGTTGGACATCCCTAGAAGGGTGAGGCATGGGCACCTGGAGTTGCTGGCTCTAAACAGGTGACTCCAGGCACAGACGGTTTGATCACCTGCTCCTTTGGCTACAGCCCTGACTCCAACTCAACCATAAGGTGCATAGGAACACCGCGAATCATAGGATTTCTAATGCCAGAGAGGTTCACAATAGCTGAGGCAAGAATAAGCCAAGAACCAGCAAGAGCAAAGACACAGGATTGGGTGTACAACTTAGCCTTAAGAAGGAATGGAAGTCCTTTTAAATTTTTATTATTATTGCTATTATTATTACTATGTGTGTATTGCACGTGCAGGTCACAGAACCACTTCATGAAGTCACTTCTTTGCTTCTAATTTCACATGGGTTCTAGGGACCAACCTCAGGTACCTGCTGAGTCATCTCTCCAGCCCCAGAGAAATAAAATTGGAACACATGCTACAACATGGATGGATTGTTTGTTTGTTTGTTTTTGAGACAGGGCTTCTTTGTATAGCCCTGGCTATCCTGGAACTAGCTCTGTAGATCAAGTTGGCTTCGAACTCACTGAGATCCGCCTGCCTCTGCCTCCCGAGCGCTAGGATTAAGGCATGTGCTACCACCCAGCTATGGATGGATTTTGAAGACATTATACTAAGTATAATCAGTAAGATGCAGAAGAACAAACACTGTGTGATTCCAAACTCTGGCACAGGCTAAGCAAATACTCTCCCACTGAGCGACACCTTAGTCTACATGAGGTTTCTAGAACAGACAACTTTACAGAGACAAAGACACAGTGAGATTACCAGAGACTGAAAGGAGCAGGTGGGGGCAAGATGGCTCAGTGGACCCAGAATTTCAAAAACCTCGGAACCTTGAGGAAGTTCTGAAGACAGGCGTGAAAGTGTTTAATGCTCCTCAGCTGCATGCACCTTTACAATGATTAAGACAGAGTTCATGCCATGCACATTTTGCCACAATTTAAAAAAGACCTAAGCAGGGTTTGGTGATGGTCCATACTTATAGCTCCAGAAATTGGGAGGGAGAAGGAGGAGGATTTGGGGCCGAAGTTCATCCTTAGCTACATAGCAAGTTTGAGGCCAGCCCAAACAATGTAAGACTCTACCTCGAAAGAAAAAAAAAATCAATTTAACTCGCTAAAACCCACTGCTGGAGCTCCAGAGATCCCACAGGCCTGGAGGCTGTGGAAAGTAGCATTTTAAAACTGTACCCCAGGCTCCTTTGATACAAGCTGTTCTCAGGCCGTGCTTTGAGAAGCGTGGGCCTAAAGGATGCCCTCTAAGCCACGCACCCCACATTTCTCCAGGAAGATGCTCTGGTGAGAAGACCGGGAGACCATTGAGTATTGGGTATTGACTACTATGACCAGGGTTAACTTGTGTCTAGGGCTCTGAGGGCGACAAACAGAAATAGAACAATCAATGCTGGCCTCCAAACTCCTGCTATGCAGTGTTAATTAAGATAATCAGGCCAGAGGGAGGAGGTTAGCATCCTTTCTTCCCAGCTGCCTTCATTTCGAGTTAATCCCAGCCATTAGGAGAGCAGGTTCCTTTCTTAACTGTCTGAGTAGAAAAGCTGCCTGCTGAAGAAGCAGTCTGACTTATGGGCCATGGTATCTGCAGCAAATCCATAAGCTTTTATTTTGGGGGTGCCGCTCCTCCCCGGACACACAGTTAGTTAGCGAATGCCTCAGGCTGAGCCAGGGAAGCCCTCGTTTTAATTTAACACTTGATCCTTAGAAAATCACCAGTCAAGGATTGTTGGCAAGGCCCTGGGGTCTGAGTTGAGTCCTAGACCAGCTGCGTCCACGAATCAAGTCGCCAAAAGAGCGTTTCCCCTGCTAAGTTCAGGGTTCAAAACCAGGGTGCCACTGGAGCGCTAAGCCTGGAAGCTTGGCTATGCAAGAAAACCAAAATTCATTTCCTTTAGATGCCTCGGAGAGCTTCGCCAAAGTTCACAGTAATGAGTGCACCAAGTCCCAGAATGAGTGCGGGATGCGGGCTTAGAGACAGAATGCTGAAGGAACTGTGGAACCAGACACACTTTGGACTGTTCCAAGGGGTGCCCATTTGTTGGAGTCCTAATTTGAATCTGAAGTGTCTTCCTTGGGTTCTTGTCGGGAAAGCCGCCCCCCTCCAGCTAATGGCACTGTTTGGGGGCACTCTCTAAGCTCTGGGAACTGAGTCCTAGTTGGAGGTGGGTCCTTGGAGGTTTATTGTACCTGGCTCCTTCTGTTCATTCTCTGTGGCCTATCTACTGGCACTTTTCCTTCTTCTGCCCCCACGAACCATCTCTTCAAACCATCCCTAAGCACCTTCAGCTCCCAGGCTTCCCAGCTCTTCCAGACCAGCTGCCTGCCTGCCGTATGTCCACACACTGTGCGTACTTGTATCCATGCAAAGGTGAGCTACTCAGTTGTGCCCTCAGCACATTGTCTCCAAGTCCTCTACAGTCTGGGAGTCAACTTCACTCCCAAGGCCAGGCTCTAGTCTTGGATCTGCTCTTTCCCTCTTCTGGTCTGAGCTTGTGGATACCCAGTCCGTGTGTGGTGTATGTATGTATGTATGTGGGGTGTGTAGGGGGGCGGCACAGGAGAGCTCTGCACAGCCAAGAGGCAGCTCCCCTCTGTGCTGCTGTGTGGGGACCCAACACTTCAGGCGGAGGTTGATCTGGGCAGAGGATGGCTCTCAGGCAATC